TTGTAAGGATCATTGGAGATAATCTAGTTGAAGCAAAAGACAACAATGCAAATGAAATGTTACTCAAATATTGGTTAGAAGCATTGGCAAGACATGTTAATCTTGAGATGGTGAAGATAGCAAGCAAATCTCTTTGAGGTACTAAGCGAAAGGTGAAGGGCAAGTGACGACTTGGCGGCCGATGGACCTAGCTAAAAGTAAAGAAGGAACTTACTTGCATTTAGTCGAGGCACTAATCAAGTGGTGTTTGTCAATGTGGAAGATCAAATCAAATGTTCAAAGTGACTTGAAACCTTCGACACAAGTCACATGCTCGAGATGGACAAGCTCAATCAAATCAAGTGATGGAATTCCTCAACTCAACTATGCATGAGTATTGTGGCAAGCAAAAATTGGAAGAAGCTCAAGTAGAGATCAAGTTTTATTTCCTTGTGTTGAGTTTAGTTGAGACACACTATCAAGAGGGATGCATCACTGAATCTAAGACAAGTAAATTGTGCTCAAGTTGAAACATGTGAGAAAGCCTAGAAAAATGAGAGACAAGAGTGAGAAGAAAAACTAGTTTTTAGCCCACCAGCCAAAGTCGGCCAGGCCTATTTTGATTTCCAATCAGGCCGGCTATTCAATTTGCATCCCGGTCAGGCCGATTTCTGGTCAACCTGATTGGAGAGGCAACTCGGCCTAGGCCAACAATCGGCTAGGCCGGGACTGAGGATCGGTCAGGCCGACCTTGACAGCACTGCGATAGTTTTTACTGGCTAACTTTGGCTTAAAAATTTTGTGCAGCCTATTCACCCCCCTCTAGGCATCGAATCGGTCCTTCCAATTGGTATCGGAGCCGAGGTCTCACGCTTAAGCTTAACCGCCCATGAGAATCGATGTCTACATCTTGTGAGGTACCGTTTGAGCTACTCCGCAAGGATGGCTCAAACTTCCATTCTTGGTCATCACATGTTTTCAATATTTTATGTACAACGGATCCTATTTGTGAGAGTGTAGTGAGTACAAGCATTATGAATAAAAAATGCTTGCACCTCAACACTCAAGTAATAATTGTGTTATTGAGGACATTGTGTGCAGAGCTAGTTGATGAAATTATCCTTTGTGATGGTGAGCCTATCGAGGATGCTCATCTCATTTGGACCAAACTTTGTGAAAAGTTTGGGCAATCCAACTGTGATGGGTCACATGACAATGAAAATGTCATCAACATCACTACTGCACCAAACTGTTGTGAAGAAAAAGAACAAGATCTTGAAGGAACAAGTCGTGAGCAAGATGGCATGAGTGTTGTTGGGCTGGCAAACCCAGCCAGTCCAGGTTATGATGCCAGCTAGGCCGATCACCAGTTTAGGCCGACTGTGCATGCCGGCCAGGCCGACTTGTCCAGCCGGGCAGTAGCCCAAGTTTGCTTCTTGAATCTTTGTTGAGCTAAAGAATTAACCTCCACAATAGATTCCACTAGTGATAATTCCTCCCACACTTGTCTTATGACAAAGAAGAGCAAAAAGAAGAAGCCAAATAAAGTGTCGGTGGAAGAGAAGAAGGTGAAGGACCAAGATGAAGATGATGAAGTTGAGATTGAAGATAGCTATACTCTTGATCATCTCAACGACAAAGACAAGGTTATCTTCATGAAGCTTGTTAAAAAGAATGATGAGTTAGAATTGGAAAATGAGAAGCAAGAGCAATCACTTGAAAGACAAGAAGTGTATCTCATTTCCAAGTTGAAAGAGCTAAAGGCAACGACCAAAAGGTATGAAAAGTTATCAATTGAGCATGCTTTAGTTACTAACTCCTCTTCTAGTGTTGCACAACTAGAGAAGGATAACATTGAGCTCAAGGCAAGACTAGATGAACTATTAAGGAAATATAATGTTCTACAAGCCAACTATGTTCATCTCAAGTGCTCACATGAGGAATTAGTAGAATCTCATATCATGCTTGAGGTGGCTCATGAGGTTGTGATCACATTGATAAAATCATCTCAACCTCACACTCACTCACACACTTGTACACCATCTTTAAATACTCTATGTGCTAACAAGTGTGTCTCTCAAGCAAGCCAATCTTCGATTGAGCATACTATCTTAGAAAACAATGAGCTCAAAGAAGAAGTTGAAAAGCTAAAGAAGGATGTGATTCGGTTGAAGGGTAAAGGGAAAGCACAACCTTCTCAAGATAACCATGACAACATGGTGAAGAAGCTTGAGAAGGGTTCAAACCTTGCTTCCTTTAACACCCAACAAAAGAATCACACATCAATCAATGACAAGGCAACCAAGAGCAAGAGACATGGTAAGAGAATGTGCTATGGTTGTGGTATGTATGGACATGAAGGTGCTATGTGTCCACATAAGAGTTGGGCCAACAAATGTGAAGTGGATGAACAAAAGGCATCTACCGAGTTGGCCAAGCAAGTGAAAAGTGAAGGTCCAAGTGCTTGTCCCAAGTGCAAGAAATTGGGTCATTCTATCAAGAATTGCTTCTTGAACATAAAGGATCGAGAAGTGAGAAAGAAGGCCCAAGTTGCAACAAGAAGATGCTATGGTTGCAATAAGAAGGGGCATATGATTGGTGAATGTCCCAATAAGCAAAACAAGCATATGGCAAACAATGGCCGCATATGCTACACTTGTAGAAGAAAGGGACACCTAAGCAAGGATTGTCCCAAAGGTAACTTGTCTAAACCGAACACAGTGGTTTACACTTCTATGCTTAGGAAGACCACAAATGGAGATAGTACTAGCAAGGTGATGTGTTCGCCACAAACTAGTACTAGTGCCATTTGGGTACCTAAGTACTTGTTGACTAACATGAATGGACCCAACAAGTGTTGGGTACCAAAACAAGCTTGATAGGCAAGAAGGTATAAAGAGGTGCATTGAAGGCTTGACTTTGGAAAACAAAAGAGATTCATGACAAGTCAAGATTTAGATCAAATTCATGTTTTACCCAATGTCACCTCGGTAACAAGTTTCTTTTAAGTAGCCTAGCCATGCTACTATGTGTTCCCAAAGTTGCATATATTTATGAAAGTGGCTAGATACTTGTGTTCATCACTTGTTGTTCCATATGACATGGATCAAAGAAAGAACTACATAAAAGATGGGGCCCTGCCCTGACTAAGTCGGCCAGGCCTAGATGCCTGGTCGGCCAGGCCGGGAGACGGCTAGACCGGCATCCTTGGTCAGTCAGGCTGGGATTCCTAGGATCCATGCAACTTAATGGTTGTGAGTATTGCTTCTAAATGCGAAATCTTATCAATACTCTTCATTTGTGTACTAGATATAAAATGAGTCTCCCAAGTTAAGAAATTGACTAAAGTACATATGTAAGTAATTCAAATACTTAATGTACTACTTGAGGGGGAGCTCACTATATATCTAGTGCCCTTGTTACTAACTTTTTCATTTGAGTATACGTGTAGAACTTTAATTGAAAAAGTTTTTGTTTCAAGTGTGACACTCAACATTGAAAATCAAGTTCTACTTGAGACCTATTCCAAGACGTGCTCTCATGGTGACTATAATATGAATGATCTTGTGAATAGCTTCTCTCGTTGGATTGATAATATGTTTGTCAAGTTATTTGTGCTTATGCAAATTAAATATCTCATTGCACAAAAGGTTGCTAGAGGCTAAGGTATGTCTTTACATTGAAAGATTAAATACCGTTTTGCATATAGGACCCTTTATGTTAGTGTGCGTATTTGTGTGACATAAGAAAGTTTTTGCGAAAACCCAACTAGATGCTACTTTGTGTAGGAGCTTTACAAAATATTTGGTGTTGGTCTTTGTGACCTAGTCATGTCAAAAGTGATTATTGTTCTCATTGGTTGATTGATTGGCTAATCACAAATTGACATGGCTATCTCAAGTCCACAAATCTATGTCTAGATTTAATCCCTAATCTCTTGTGGTATATCTCTCAAAAGAAAAGAAAATATGGACATAAGAATGGTGATCAATATATTTTTTTATAGTGCTTATCCTTCGAAATCTCAAGTGAGAAACAATATTTGGAGTATGCACGTTTGAGTCTTACAACACATGCAAGATGATTGAATGGACTCAAATTTTTGGGAGAAAATTATTAAAAAAAAATTGGAGTCCAGAAATATTGGATAAATGTTTGGAATCATTTGGAAAAGAAATGAGAGAGAGAAGAAAATAAAAAAAGGAACTGCAGGGTCAGTCAGGCCGCCTTAGGTGGCCGGCCAGACCAGGAGGCGCTCCAGGTAAGGATGAAAACGGACGGGATGAATCACGTTCCGTCCGTAACCGTATACTGTTTCATCCCTTCCGTTTATGTTTTTTCGAGAAAATATGGAAACGGGACGGAATGCACTGGGACTGGAATAAAAAAACGGTTGAGCATTTGTCCGTCTGTATTTACGGTATACCATATTTTACTGGGATAATCCCGTATTCATCCCGTTTTGGTCGTAACCGGGATAATCCCATCACTATGCGCCTTATCAGCTGGCCTCCCTGGTTCTTCTCGGTTGGCGTTCGCGGCCTCCCGCCTCCCAATTCCCAAATCCTCGGCTGGATCCTGCGTCGCTGTTTCTTGGCTCTGGGTGTGGCAGCATGTGTGCATGCAGATGCAGTGTAGCAGCAAGAGGTAGCCTCAGGACATGTGTGCATGCAGTGTAGTGTCACTATTCCTCTTAGATGCATGTGTGCACAGGCGGTCAGGACTCGGGACTTGGGAGCGTTACCGAGTGTAGCAGCAGGAAGTAGCCAAGCTGAGCAGTTTAGCTTCTTCACCTTTACTAATCATGTGAGATTTATTATTCGTTTACTTATTCTACTTTTGTATCTTGGTTATCATACATGATATGTAATCCCGGCTTAAGCTCCCGGCTACCGTCCGTTTCATTGATTTTCTGATCGTATTTATCCGTTTTCGTATTACTGTTTATCCATTACCGTTTCTGCTCCCGGCTGTCCCGCTCTCGCCCCTTTTTTCGTTAAAAAAATACGAAAACAGAAACGATGGAGGTATTTTCCATCTGTTTTCAGCCTTAGCTCTAGGCCGATCGGCAACTTGGGTCTGTTAAATTTGGTATTAAAATCGACTGATAAATTAACTGAAGATAATTTATTGTGAGAAAAAATACTAGGAATTCTACGTGAAAAACCGGCTGATAAGTTCAACGGCCATGTTGGGCAGGCCGATTGCCGGCCAGAGCTGCATGCCTTCTCGGTCAGGCCAAGTAGCTGGGCAGGAGGCCCCACATGTCAGCGATGGAAGCATTTACTGCATGCAAATCTCCCTATTCTCTCTCTCCCTACCGATGCCTGCATCTCCTTCTCCAGTTCGCTCGTGCTCTCTCTCCCACGGCTGGCTCTCTCCCATGGCGGCATGGAACAGCAAGAAGAAGACCCCTCCCTGATCTCTCTCCCTAGGGCAAGGAATCAAGTTGGCTCTCGGCTTGGCCGTCCCCTCGGTCGGCTAAGCCGGGATTTGTGGCCCTAATCCTCTCCGAGCTCTTCCCCATCTCTCCCAAGATACAAGAAGGTGCATCTCACCCAATCTCTTTTTCTAGGCAATGTCTATGGATTTCCTTTAGTGGATAAGTTCCTGCTAGTGCCTAGATGACATGAATGAAATTTATTTTGGATTGGTTGGCTACATTTGACACATTCTTGAACTAAGGCTTGTGCGTGCAAAGCAGTCAGGCTGACTGGGCCTCGCGTTCAGGTTGACTCCCAACCATGCCGAGTGGCTCTGGTGGTCAGGCCGACCGCCGACCAGGCCGAGATATACTCTCGATCAGTTAGACTAATTTTGCACAGCAAGCCTCAGTTCAAGAGTAGTTCACGTGCAGTCATATTTCTTAAATAAATTTCAGAGACCTTATCTGCTCAGTTGCAATTATCTATGTGTATTAGCAATAGAGAGAATTTTTTATAGAAATATAATTGACATAGTTGCAAAACTAGTCTAGTTATATTTCCATCGAAAAGTCTCTTTAATGCTAGTATACATTCTCTCAGCAATTGATTCATGCCAAATCAGTGCCTATTATCTATGTACCATAGCAGTAGAAAGAAACTCTTGTTGAAATAAACTTGACTTAGTTGTTTAACTAGTCGTGTTGTATTTCCACAGAAAAGTCTCTCTAGTGCTAAATCACATGTTATCCAAGTTTGTCAATGCCAAATCTTCCCAGAGATCTTATGCTGCTTTGAAAAATATTTTGTGACCTCAGGGACAATATGCAGAGAGAGAAATATCAAGCTTACTTTTGAGAGAAGGAAAAAGACAAAACATGATGATAATCCAAATGCAGAGGGCACAACAGAGGGGGAAGCTGATCCACCCATTCCACCAGCAACTCAGGAGGCAGTTGTGACAGGGCCTGCTCATGGGACAAGGAGAGCCACAGCTAGACAGCAAGGTATTTCTATTAGTGGTTCTTGTGCAGCTAGAGAGATAAATGAGGATCGAGACACATCTAGTGAGAGTGATCATGATGAGGATGATGATTATATGATTCAGCATAGACCAAGCAAAGGCCCAGCAGATGCAGATGTTGAGGACAATAATGATAATGACGAGGATGATGATGATGCAAATAACCGTGAGGAGGAAGTAGAACCAGATCATGGTGGTGCACAACAGGATGATATTTCTGCCCCTCAAGCTTTCAAGTTCAGAGTCACACATGGGCCTCCCAATAGGCCAAAGACAAACTATAAAGCTAAGGGGATGACAGCGGTTGTGAGAGAATTGAGAGAACAAGATCCTAGAGCACTTCCTCGTACTGCTTTGGATTACAGGTTTCACAATATGTTCCAGCAAGATTTTTATGAGACTGTGATACTCACCAAGGATGACAAGGTCAGTAGAAGTCAATGGATAGATTGGGATTACATGGCCAACAAGAAGGATGTTGTGTTTGATGAGGTGGTATCTACTTGTGAAAGGCAGAAAGTGAAGAAGATCATGGGCTTCAAACATGACTGGAATGATGAAATCATTGCTCAATTTTATGCAACTTTGTATGTCGAGGAAAATGGGGTTGATCCAAAGAGGTGGTATATGCACTGGAGAACTGAAGGAACAAGTTGATTATGTCACATTTGGCAAGCTGTTTGGATTTGCAGGGAAAGATTTCAGGAAGTTCAAGATTCACAATAAGCCTCACCTCCCTGCTCATCAAATGAAATTCATGTATCCAGAAAATACAACTAGCAACTATGGAAAGCTATCTGATCTCTACTCCTACTACTCCTATCTCAATAGAATGATTAGAAAAACCCTTGTGCCAAAAGATGGAGATCTAGCAAATATCACTTTCTATACCAAGAATTTGCTTGCTAGGATGGATCCAAGAGCTGAGTCTTTCAGTGTCTTCAACTTTGTGTGGGAAGAAATAAAGTCCATCTCTCAGTTTCCCATGAAGAACTGTGGCTATGCACCTTACATTATGCACATGATTGAGTCAGTCACAGAGAAGATCTTTGTGAAAGATGTTGAGCATAAACCTTTGAAGATTATTTGTCTGAAGGATCCCATTGTGCCTAGAGCCCCAAGAGCATCTTATTCTGTAGATCCATTTTCTGTTGGGACTTCAAGTGCACCCTCCACAGAGCAGTTGGGCAGTCAGAGGCAGAGGTCTGTCAGGCGTAGTGACAAACCATCTTCTCCCAATAGCAAAATGTATAACATTTTAATTGGGTTGTGCAAGAAAGTCAGAGACATAGATGAGAAAGCACACCAGGAGAGGGTGAGAGCTAGAGAGACTACCAGGATTCATGATCAGATACTCAGAGATTTGCATAGTCACATTTTGCCTGATGCTCCAGCTCCTCCACCTATTCCAGTTGCACCAGCTTCTCCTCCACCGCCACCTTTGGACAGTTACGTTGAGCAGTTGCAGCAGGAGGATTACTTCACACAGCACTACGGCACCGTGTCGTCCATGTCCTATGGCTATGTGCCAACACAGTTAGCAGGTCCGTCTACAGCTCCTCCAGTGTTTGCTTTAGCACTTGTTTTCACTTCAGCACCTACCTGCACTTCAGTGCCAGCTTCAGAGAGGTTTGCTCACACAGCTGCAGATTCTATCTTTAGCACCTTACCCAGCTTGTCTAATGGCTTTGCTTCCCATACCTTCTCTGACACTCAGACTCAGTTGGGCTCGACTACATATTGGCAGCTTGACAGTGACAGTGGTGGCACTTTTCTTGCAGATCCATCGTCCACCAGGGGCAATGGCGTCGAGTGATTGATGTGACGAGTTCTCCACATCTGTTTTCGTTCTTCTCTTTTTGATGATGTGATGACAAAGGGGGAGAAAGAAGACGGATTAAAGCTTCATGTTTATCTAATTATCTTGTATGATGCTGATTTGGATGAGTTTGTATGAGATTTGAGTCATTGAGCTTCATTGTAATATTCTTGTGAGAGATTATGACTTTGGACATGTAATAATCTAGCACTTTTATCTATCCCGTGGACTTGGGAATATTTGTATCGTGTGCTACTTTGTGTGATTGAACTCCATGATATTTATCTAAGGGTTGCATGTTAGTGTAATATATATGTCTTGTGATGGTGTATGATCTTATATTTATTTGTTGTATGATATACTTGTCATATGCATCACGGTTTGTTATTGCTATCATACACTTATTGCACCCCACGGATGCAATGATTTAGGGGGAGTCTCCTATTTGTTTTGATATGTGTAAAGTTGGCATTTGAGGCCACTTTATGAATATCACTTATATGCACATATCAAGGGGAGCCTCTCATAAATTATTGAACCCAAAAGCTATATTTTTATATATCATTTGTAAGCTTTAATCGGGGTTATTATCAATCACCAAAAAGGGGGAGATTGAAAGTACATTTAGGCCCTTGTGGGTTTTGGTGCATTGAATGATAACATAATTAAGGGACTAATAATACTTATGAGACTTGCAGGTAGTTAGTCCCAGGTGAATTATTATGTGTTGGACTCATAATGTGTGGTGATCATATAAATGTCAAATTAAGTTCAAGATTTATTTGTGAAGCAAGGACTTGCAAGCAAGTGTGTAATCAAATAAATGAGACATAAGGGATTACATATGGAATGGTCTCAATTATATAGCTTGCAAGAACTTATATCAAGGATGTTGTCGAGCTTGTAAGGATCATTGGAGATAATCTAGTTGAAGCAAAAGACAACAATGCAAATGAAATGTTACTCAAATATTGGTTAGAAGCATTGGCAAGACATGTTAATCTTGAGATGGTGAAGATAGCAAGCAAATCTCTTTGAGGTACTAAGCGAAAGGTGAAGGGCAAGTGACGACTTGGCGGCCGATGGACCTAGCTAAAAGTAAAGAAGGAACTTACTTGCATTTAGTCGAGGCACTAATCAAGTGGTGTTTGTCAATGTGGAAGATCAAATCAAATGTTCAAAGTGACTTGAAACCTTCGACACAAGTCACATGCTCGAGATGGACAAGCTCAATCAAATCAAGTGATGGAATTCCTCAACTCAACTATGCATGAGTATTGTGGCAAGCAAAAATTGGAAGAAGCTCAAGTAGAGATCAAGTTTTATTTCCTTGTGTTGAGTTTAGTTGAGACACACTATCAAGAGGGATGCATCACTGAATCTAAGACAAGTAAATTGTGCTCAAGTTGAAACATGTGAGAAAGCCTAAAAAATGAGAGACAAGAGTGAGAAGAAAAACCAGTTTTCAGCCCGCCAGCCAAAGTCAGCCAAGCCTATTTTGATTTCCAATCAGGCCGGCTATTCAGTTTGCATCCTGGTCAGGCCGATTTCTGGTCCAACGGCTATTCAGTTCAAAATCTCATCTTAGGCTGGGTTCTCATCCCGGCTAGGCCAGGTTTGCTGACTTAGCCCAACGGCTAGTTTGGCTTTGGTGGCTATTTATACCTCTCCCTCTCCTCCTTTGCTGGCTGCTGGTTCTCCCCACTTCCACATACAACTAGAAGCATTTTGGCTCTCCTCTCTTCCTCTTTGTGAGTGCTCTAGCTCCCAACTTGCCAAATCTTTGATTAGAGAGTGAACCAATCTTTGTGAGCTTGCCTTGGTGGCATTAGAGAGCTTGAGAGACATTGTGTGAGCTGTCCCATTCTTGAGCACTTGAGCAAGTCAAAGATCTTTGGTTCGTTGCATTCGTTCTCTTGGAACTTTGTTCCTAGGAGGCAAAGTGTCACCAGCAAGCACCCGAGGGTGTTGTGGGCTGCTGTGGTGGCCATTGTAAGAAGGGCAAGTCTTCCCGCTGAAAGAGGAAAGAAGACTCCTTAGTTGAAAGGTGAAAAGCGATCGTTTCGGGTCCGGCCACGAGTTGACCTTGGTTGGGTCCTCACCGGCGTCCACAACGGAGACGTAGGTCACCTTTGCGTGGTCTGAACTCTAGTCAAACAAATCCTCGTGTCTCCCCTTTGGCTTGCATCACGCTTGTTTACATTGCATATATTTTTTGTGATTCCGCTTGTGCTACTCAGACGTGGTGATTTGTGTTTGCAGGAGCTATGTGATAGTGTTCACACATCTATAAGCATTACCATACCCCAAGTTGCATTTACGTAGAAGAGGCGAAAGGCTCACAACCTTTTTGGGCGCAGAGTGTCAGAACTTTTGATAGTTGTCGGAACTTTCGGCGAAGTCGACCTGATTGGAGAGGCAACTCGGCCTAGGCCTACAATCGGCCAGGCCAGGACTGAGGATCGGGCAGGCCAACCTTGACAGCACTGCGACATTTTTTATTTGCTAACTTTGGCTTAAAAATTTTGTGCAGCCTATTTACCCCCCCTCTAGGCATCGAATCGGTCCTTCCAGAGTGGCGATCACAACCGGAGGTGGGGACGCGACGACCATGGCGTCGTCGCATCAGGAGGACTCAAGCACCAAAACGCACAAGTCCTACCGGCCGAAGACTACAACAGGAGGGTTATGAAGGGGTCATCCCCGGGGGCTCACGGGCCCGCCGAGGACGATGAGCCAGCATGGCTCTGCCCAAGGCAGCCCAAGAGGATGATCTGCACCAACTACGACAGCCCCAAGTAACCAGGAAGCGCCCTCACCAACCCGAAGCCTAGGAGCCACGACAACTCCATCACAAGCGAGCACTCGGGAGCTCACCTCGACGCGAGCAGCGACAACAGGGCGAACGTTCACTCCCCAAACAAACACAGCTGATATCAATCTTATCCCTCTCTTCGTTATTTGATCGCATTCGCATATGCACATAGAGGCGATCGATGAACCTAGCCGACTAAGACGTAGCGTAGAATAGACTTAGGTATGAAGAACCCATGCGATTTGTCTCGAAGGCATTTCACCTTCTAGACGACCTGACCTGCTCCTCACGGGAGATCAAAATGTCATGGCTCACGAGGGCAGATTACGTGAGGTCCCCCCGCCAGTTCGCATTGTCACTATCTATGCCATGCAACACTGTAGAGGTGAAGCCCGATTCACCATCTTAGGCTAGCGGCCGCGCACTGTGGGTAACCAATATTCCACAAAAAGAAATGCAAGCCTGTCTACGCCAGGCAAGTACAAAAGTAACATAAAAATAACAAGGACGAAATGACGACATGAGCAAACAAGAAGTCAAACCCGACGATAGATCACATAGATAGTTTAAAATGTTACAACTTCGCCCGTCGGTAAAGCATGCGAGCTGGCAAACCAGGGAGACCCGGTGCCACTTAGAAGACCTAGCTACATCCACAAAAACTACCCCCATCTTCATGATCGTCGCCGCTGCCTCCGCAGTAGCAACCAAGTCATCCATTGAAACCAGCCCCCCGCCGGGCTCCGAAAGCCATGCCCAGATGGCAATTCTCGCCTGAGGGACCTTCCCGAGGGCAAGCCTCCTCCACCTCACAGCGGGACGTCATGAGCTGCTCCTCTAGCACTGTGATCCAGAAAGTCCCACCAAAAACCCAAGATAAAAAACCTAGTGAATAGGAATTAGGAGAAACGAGAAACTCACCATACGCCGGCACCCGCACGGCGGTGGCAAGAACTCGCACCTCTACGACCTCTTCGTCCCCCACCTGGAGGGCCGCGTGGAGATAATTCATGTGGGCCTTCAGCTGGGCCACCTCACAAACAAAACTCGAATGCAACCGGCGGGCCTCGTCCCTTTCAAGCACATAGCTCCATATCCCTTGCCGCCCGATAGCAAGGGACAGAGGGCGGGGGCTCATCGGCTCCGGAGCCAGAACGGGCTAGGGACGAAATGGAACCAGAGGGACCTCCGGTCTCCGACTCCATCACCGGAGACATAATACTGAACACACCCACAATTAACATGAGCACAGTCAAACCTAAAGAATGACGCAAAAATCACTTACCCATGTTCTCGCAGAGAAGACAGAAGGAGCGACGGTGGTCCATCGACCTCAGGGGACTCTTCATGAAGGCGCTTCCTGTGATCCATCATCAGGGGAGCGATTATGAATGCATGAGCAGAAAGGAGAAGAAGGTAGCTCAGGAGACGGGAGAACGACACCTCCCACAACGCACCACTCCAGCGGATTTATAGCCTCAAAGATAACCTCGGCAAGCAAACCAAGCCCATGACCATTACTAACATCTTTGATAATCCCATAGAGCAGGGGCGGCAACTGGGTGGAAGGCGGAATGGCGGCCTCCCACGAGATAACCTAGGCCAGGTAGGTCGTGCTCACTTTCACATTTCACGTCGCTTCGGTTTACGTGCCTTCATTTAAAAGGCGCCTTGTTGCCCGCGGGTGGACTTTCGCGAAGCTACAGGATCAAAGGGGTCGTGCATCCCTAAAACCTGTACGCGAAAGCGACCCGCCATGAACACGACCTCGCGTCATGCTTAGGAAAACCTCTCTTGGGCTGGCCCTTAGAAGGGCTCGAGGCCACAAAAGGGATAGGGGCAGGGAGGAGATGGGCCCCGCGGCTCTAATCGGTGGTGCAGAGCCACACGACCATCTCTCTCTGTGTTCGAGTTGTCCACTTCGAAGTCTCCTGGGTTGACCCCCTCTGGGGGAGGCATCTTGCCCTTTGGCCGCTGCGGAGGCGGTTGGGGACCAACGGGATTGATGGCCGATGATTAACGGGACGTCTCACGTGAGGCACAGCCGAACTCCATGTTGATTGGGGAGGATATCGGGTCCCACTCGAATTACCCATCGACCCCGACGAGGCGCACCGCTCCGACCGCGTGGTTACGGTGGACAAGCCTCTCCCCGCGTGGGGCGAAAATTAAAACCTGCCTG